CAATTATTTAACAAATACAAAGGTCAGTCAACAGACCACTCAGGCTTATCAACACAAATATATTTATATATTTTAACACAAATAACAAAAATATAAAATTCAGTAAATAAAATTGTGGGCATAAGATAAATAAATTAAAAATGTTTAAATGTTTCAAATACAAAAAACTGTAAAACTAAATTTGATAAAGTACAAATGAAAATAAAGCCTTTTTAAACGTTTGCAACCAGAAGCTGCTCTTCATATTAGTGACAAACTTTACTTTAAAACTCTACATATTAAAAAGTTGTTAAACATCTGAGTGGTGCACTACTGCTACTAGTGGTGAGAAAGTGTATTACAACTTATTCAAAATCAATGTGGTCCCACGGCCCTCTGTGGCCCAAAGTTAAAAACTGTTGTTCTTTTGAGGCCCTCAAGGTGGCGCTGTGGCCCACAGGTTAAGAACCTCTGGTTTATAATGTACAACCTCACTGCTGTATGTTTTTACTTAGTATTTCATATTTGACCTGAGTGAAGTTGGCCCTCCACCCTGTTCAAATCTAATAAAACTGGTGTCAAACGTTTGAGCAGCAAAGATTTTCATTTGTGCTGCTCTKGGTTTTCAGGTATTGATATTTTTTCCAAGCCCAGCAGAGTTGTGTGTAAATGTGGGTTTTCCCTCCATGCAGGCCATTTTCTATCCTCATGCATTGTCCTGCTGTAAACTTTATTCCACCTTCTGCTTTGCTTTGTATGTAAGAATCTAACCTGCAGGCAAATGCCTTGCTCCTTAAAACTAGTAGTTTAAACAAAGAGAGGGTTTGCACCTTTATTGATTTGTTTATGGGCAGTAAAGACAAGTAACAAAGCTTTAGTTATTCAAGTTTTACCAACTCATGAACAAAATGCTTTACAAAACCCTTGAAGTTCAGTTGTTTATTTGGCTGTWTGGTGTTTAGAGAAATTGAAGTCCTTCTGTTACTTTGTCCAAATAAACATGAACTGTCTGTCAGTTATCTTGTATTGCTGTGTTTTTTTACTCAAAAAGCCTTAGCAACTTCTATGAGCTGATGCTAACAGAAGTGTTCAAACTGAATACAATTTCTCAATTGTTCTGAAGTCTCCCCTTTTCAGTCAAAATGAGATTTTTCTCCTCTCCTTGATGACATAAGCGTTAAGATTATTGAATAAGATTATAAATGAATTATAAAAGAGCTTAATATCAAATATGATCAATGAAGAAATGTAGTTCATGTTGGTACACTTTCAGTAATATCTTCAAAACAAAAGCAGCACAAACAAGAATTTGAGCAGCA